AATATATATATATATAGAGAGAGAGAGAGAGAGAGAGAAATTTATTTGTTCACACTAGGAAGTATTTAGTTTTAGTAAGATATGCCTTTTCTGTTACATATGTTTATTGACAAGCTTGGCAATAGTGTCCCATCATTTTATTTTATACTTTAATTCATTTCTGTTTGTTTTGATAATATCTACTTGACCCTGGTAGCCCAGTAGCAAACTTGATGACTCGTAATCCTAAAAATCTGGGTTCGAATCCTACATAACGCAGACAGCCCATTGCGCTTAAACGACAAACGGGAAATTATTTAATTGCGCCTAAATAAATATATTATTAAACGTAAAGTTTTCATTAAACTTCAGAAGTGAAGATTTTTCCAGCAAATACATTCAATCCCATACAAACTTTCACATCTGAATGATAAATTGGGTGAAACTTAAACTTCAATGTATTTACTGCGTAAAACATTTTTTTTTTATTAGAAAGGAACTTCTCTAAATAAAATCGTCTAGTAACCAGCAAGATCTCGGTTGTGAGAGGCTTAATTTCATTTAACTCAAATAATTCGATCAATAGAAATAATTTTCTCTTTAATATAATTAGCATTTCACCGCCCTATGAATTCAACCTTGGTAAAAAATACTTCGTTCGTGTAAAACATTTAAACAAAATAATCATGACAATAACCTGGACAGTGCCATCTGTTGGGATATTCTTAAGACTGAACAAGTATAATTGTGATGCTTTATTTCGAACGTTATAAGTATCACTTCTGGTTGTTAATTTCAGTCCTCCACCAAATTTCACATCATCTGGATCTGAAGAAAACAGCGATCACGATCGTATTTGGAACATAAGACCGAGTTCTCGCCTCTTCCAGTCAGCTTCTATCGACGTACCGACTAACTTCCGAACATCGTCCGAATGCATTCAGCCCAAAGCAAAGTTGTCTCGATGGAATACCGTAGGAACAACACATTACCAGGCAACCATAATCGGAACAGTTCAACCAGATCTTTACAGGTTTGTTTATAAAAATGACAGATCTTAACAATATATGTAGATACATATATTTTTATCTCGAGACTCAAGACACATAAAACAAGTCCTAGATTTCATATTTTACTTTTTTTAAACAAACTCAGATAAATTTACAAAAAGTATACAGCCACACAGAAGGTCAATAGTATAATAATAAGAGACGTAGATTTCATAAATATTCTTATACACAGTCTTCGTTGTTAACGATAGCCCAGCTTCATTATTATTCTTCCTTTTTTGGTTGCCTTGATTGAGTGCGCGATTAACTCCTGTAAACAATAAGTATGGGAGGAAAATCAGTAAAAAACCGTAACCGTGGCAGATATATAACACACTTTTCAAAAATGAAGTAAATGTAGGGATGGTTAATATCAATCCTTTGAAAACAATCTAAACAAGATAGTAGGGATGGTATTTGCATTATATCTTTTAGCATCAGACATACGGTGTAGTATCATGTTTGCATTGTTTTTGAAGGATTAATATTTGCTTGTTTTTAATGCAGTGTTTCAATGGACATGGGGAGGTTGTATTTATTAACCAAATTATAATTACAATTATGGTCCAACTGTCATATTTCAACCTGTATTTAAGATTTTAAAAGGAACATTCCAATTTCTGTAAGAAAGCTAACTTCAAGGGGTAATGATAACATGGTTTACACTAGTATTACGTTTTTTATTACTACTACTTGTTAATAATATTTATAAAAGCGGATATTTCGTTTGAAACTATGTCACCTCAGTGAAATTTTTGTTGACACCATTGTTTTGGTTTTTGAGTTATCATAAATAAAAAGGAAGCATCGGAAAGAAGAACAAGAAGACGTTCTCCTCTATACTTGTGTCTCTACAACAGTCAGTTGTCGTCCATTCATCAATAAATTCAAACTTTTTGCTATTAAATTTACAGATATTGCCAGAACTTGTGACTACGTCATTACATAGATATTGTTATAAAAAGAAATCGTGTGTAGTACTGTAAAGTTCTGATTATATATTTAAAATACCATTTGGATGAAAAACCCGAGCCAACCTTACACAAAACAATGCTACCGCCTGCCTGATTTGTTATTCATTTCACTTAACCACAAGTTATGCCACAGAAGTATTACGTTATCATCTTAATTTTTTGATACGTGAAATTTACAACCAATTAAAAAACAGTTCCAGAAAGCAGTTAGACTAGGCAACACACTTTGTCACATCGAATGACACAGATCCATATAAATTAACCCATTCTTATGATACACGATGGCTCACCGCGACCATGGCATCAAAAGAGCATTATTAAAGGAATGTATTGCTTCTGATTTTCCAGTTAACCAAAGACAAAGGACGCTGCTGTACTGTAGAACAGGTGTTCAGTATGATGTCAGATAAAGTTAGTAGTTTAAATAGTGGTTCTTATAGCAAAATTTGAAGACAATCTGTACAGTTAACCGAATATATTAAGCACATGACCCTTCACCTTCTAAGACTTTTTTATTCATTTGTTTGTTGTTAGGCACAATGGAATATTTGTTTTGTGCCTTCATTAGTATCGAAACCTGGTTTTAGCGTTATAGACCTTCAAACTTACCGCTGAGCCACTGGGAGGCGCTTCTAGGTCTTCTACTAAAAATGAAAAAATAAAAGACACTCCTGGCAACAAAAACAAACCTTAAAATATTGAAGATAACTGTCGTGAGTCCAGCGACCCAACAAAGATTATTAAGTATTCGAGTAGTTACTACAGAAGACTACTAGGAAAGACTGTTGTTCCAACTGAGTTACTAAAAGATGGTAGAATCAAATTTTGAAGATCCTTTTCTGCATATTTGAGTCATGTATCTTGGCTGTAACTTTGAGGTATTAATTAATCAAAAAAAAAATGTAGCATACAGAAAATGGAAGACTTTGGAGGTGAAATCGAGGTGTATAGATTGTTTTAATGGTACTTCGATGGCCAATAAAAATGAGATTATCAAGAAAAAAAATTAAATATGGTAGATGTTGAAATATTTTCTCTGGTTAATGATCTATTCGTTAACAAACCTCCTGCTACCCAGTTAGCAGAAACGTTCTTCATCAGTGAGACAGGCACGAATTTGATATCATTGAAGACGAATGGCGGCGTTCAGTACAGAGCCATGAAAATAGTCATTTCACAGACTCGCTGGTAATCAAAATATCATTGTATTTCGAGTCAATGTTGCAAAAGAAATGAATTCATTAGAAGAAGCAAGATTTATAGCTTGACATTTTAACTTGATTTTAAGTTGTTATGTCTGCCATTTTTTAATGCAGATGGGGAACATGCGTTGTCCACGCTTTTCATTATAAAAAACAAGCACAGAAGCAGACGAAACGTGGAATCCGTTTCTGTAATAATGATGTTTCGATGTGGGTTAAAAACTACGTAATCAAGAATGTAGCAGTTTTGTTTTCCTCGTCCTCAGAAAATTGCTGCAAGATTTTAATGCATCATAAGTTATCAGAGGAACCAGAATTAAACTCTGAATCAGATGATTACGTACTGTAGCAAATCTGAATTGAAATATTGTACCATTTTTCTTAGAAGTACTAACAATATAATCCCCGTCACACCAAACATGCTCGCCTTTTCAACCGTGGGGGCGTTATAATGTGACGGTCAATCCCACTATTCGTTGGTAAAAGAG